AAAGATGAACCCTGATTAGCGACAAGTGTGGCTGTGGCAATGGATCGGGTACGAAGCATCGACCGCTAGGTAGCGCGCTTGTCAACACTTTCGTTCTTCACTGGGCGACATCTTGTAAGATGTCATACCGTTTGAACAATACATCAACTTTCAAGCGAACGTGACCAAATTTCTCTACTAACGAACATGACGCCATATTCGTTACATAACAGTATTGGACGCGTGATTTTGCGCCAGGTCAGCTTGGAGCGTTGCCAGGAGCACTGCCCCTTCCCTGAAGTGTGTGTCTATTTGTTTCGAGGGGACAAAAACTCGCGCAATCATGTGTACACGGCCCCCGAAATCACACGCGAATCATTGAGAATCACGCGAAATCAAGCAATCAGAAATCAACCAAAATCACTAAAATCGATCGAAATCAGGCAGAGTCACAAGAAACCAGGCAAAATCAGTCCGAAATCATTTCTTTCCGAACACAATCGCCCACAATCACGCTCAACATCACCCTGGTGCGTCGCGGAATAAGGCAGAATCAGCCATGAAATCAATTAAAGCCATGCGCAATTACACAGAAATCACACAATCACGCGCAATCAAGATAAAATTTTCAAATCAGACAAAATCACGCAAATTATTCAAACGCGTGAATTACGCGAACTATTGCGTTTTCCGAATCATGTGTACACGAAAATCCCGAGTTTTTGCCCCCATCGATTTGTTTTTAGTTGTCTTTCCCAAGGAAAACGTGTTTTATCAACGTATCCAAATATGTCTACAAACTTCGGTATGGTTTTAGTAATGGTTTTCCTTGGGCTATAGGGATGATTGTAGGCCAAAGTAAAGACTATTGTTTTATCTTCAAAATGCCGCAAACCGATTGCCAAAAAGTTCAGAACTTCCGGAGAAAAATGTCTTGCAGTGAAATTTTGTATGTTTTGCCGGCTTTTGTTGCATTACCTATAACTCCCTTACAACTAAAGACAAAATAAAAGATTTTTTTTGAAAATGTTGTAAAAATTCTGTTCTTTCATTTGGTTTTTACCGTTTGTGTCTAACCTGTATATTTAAAAAATCATCGCCATCAAAAGAGGGGCGAAGACCCCCTTAAAAAAAGGGTCCAGGGACGAGACTGCCCCCTTAACCCCCACTTCATTTTAAGGACTCAAATATGAAAGAGTTCAGTCTCAACAATACACCAGAGTAACAAACGCCTTGTGCCGAGCCTAAAGCTGGCTATAGTTCCACTTGTCTACAAACTCCACATCGTTTAGGAGATAACGGAGATAAATAGTTGACATGACTTAGATTTCTAATTTGATATGGAAAACATTACGTAACAGTCCACTTGTCTCCAAACTCCACATCGTTTAGGAGATAACGGAGATAAATAGTTGACGTGACTTAAATTTCTATTTTGATATGGAAACAGGAATCCTCTACAGAGTGACCTGACACTTCTGTTAATCGTCTCAAAATTTAATTTAGGCTTCCTGAACATCATCAAAAACATTCATTCGTTTAGTTTTCCCTGCACTGCAAAGCCGGTGGTAAGTTAACTTGCCACAAATTTGGCAAGCCGTTTTGAATGCCTAAAATTGGCAAGCTTGGCCTGGAAATACTCCCTAGCATGCCAAAATTTGGGAAGCTTAGCCTGGAAATACCCCCCAGCTTGCCAAAATTTGGCAAGCTTGTGAAGATTTCTGAACATAGCTTGCCAAAGTTTGGCATTCAAAACGGCTTGCAAAATTTGTGGCAATTAAACTTACCACTGGCTTTGCAATGTGCTAACAGCTTTTATGTTTCTTCCGAAAAATGGCCAAAATGGAGTTAGCCCCCTCTTCCGCTTCCTGGATCATGTGTGTCTAATCATTCGATGCAAGAACACAGAAAGGACTAATTTATGGCTCTTCTTTCCTGGAATCATGAACTTCGTGTGATAACTAGGGATGCTAAATTACCGGTAAAATTCAACGTTACGTAAAAAACGGTAATTTACCGTAATTTACCGTAAAATTGGTAATTTTCGGTAAAATTCGAGTTTTTGGCTGATTTATCCATGTTTTCCAATGTATTTAAAATGTATTAAGGGTTTTTTTATGGATATGACCGTAAATCGACAAAATTTACGAATTAGCAGATATGGTCAATATTCATTCAACCAATTTCAATTTTACAAGAAACCCACTGAGATTCCAAACGCTATGAGTATAGCACGTACGAAGTGATTATAGACACGCAGCTTTTATATAATAAAAAGCAACTTAAATACACGCGGCGTGCAAATAACGCCATTTTCATTATATACACGCTGGAAAAGCTTTTCCAGCGTGTATATAATAAAAACAGCCGTTTTTTGCACGCAGCGTGTCTGCAAGCCCCCTAAAATTATTTACACGCTGGAAAAGCTTTTATGGTGCAATGCACTGAGATATCGCACCATACGTGCAATGCCATAGCCATTGCACCTTACATGCAATGCATCCCAACAATGCCCTATGCTTATGCATGGGAATGGGAAGGCTATGCAAAAGCATTGCACCAATTGACGATATACTTAAAGCGTTTGATTTTCAGTGCCGTCGTACAGAAAGACCGACGAGCAAAGCGGCGGTGTATTCCCTTTCAGCACGCACTGAAAAACCAAACGTGGTCCAGACCGCACCACTGGTGTGGTCAGATGGATGCCATTTTGACCACACCAATTGGTGCGGTCTAGACCACGTTTGGTTTTTCAGCGCGCACAGCCTTCTTGCTAGCTAGCCAAAACTCCGAAGTGGACTGTTTCGCAAGGCCCTGGTGGTGAAGGGCGGTCAGTCTGAATCCGTTACTATGGTACTATGTTACACTTTGCTTCTATTTGAGTCCCGAGTTCATTTAATTTACAAAAACATGAACTAAGGCCAAAAATCGAATTTTACCGTTAATTACCGGATTTTCGACGTTGCGGTAAATTACGGTAAATTACCGCACGCTAAAACTTTTTTCGAAAAGCCCCGCCGAAAATTCGGCGTAAATAGCCTTCTTCGGCGGACAACTGTCGCGCCGCGTCTAAGTTCGGTGGAATCACCCGCCGAACGCCGCCGAAAGCCGATGACGCGGCCGATGAAGGTCCGCCGAAGCTCGGCGGGAGTGCCCGGGCCCATGAGGCTCCGTTGTGCTTCGACGGCCTTCCGCCGAACGGCTTGCCATCCATGTTCGACGCTCCTTCGTCAAATCAAATATAATTGGGATTTTATGTAACAGGGCACGGAATATACTAGCAAGGCAACGTCAAATTTCACGTAGAATCTTATTTTAGAGTCAGTTGTGTAAATTGTCCAAGGATGTCCCGGTTAAAAGCGGATATGCAACTCAGAGCTAGGTTATGTCAGCCGTGACGTGCGCCTCGCACCGTGCTTCGGCGGCAAACCCCTGTCGCGATTCACGCCGTATTTTCGGCGGTATTCCTTCGAAGGTTCGAGAAAAGTTTTAGCGTGCGTTAAGGGAGGGTGGGGAACCATGACCACTTTTTTTTGTGCCTCCCTCTACTCCACCGTGTGGTTCGAAAGGTTAAGTTTCCAGCATGAGGGGATTCTTTGGACCTCCAAGGACCTCTTCCACCCATTGGAACTTGTCTGCAATGCACGGCAGGCTCACAGAACATTTTGGAAAATAAAACGCAAAGTGGTCATGGCGCCCCACCTATGGGGTACCATGACCACCCCGTGGGGCACCATGACCATAGTAATTTTTTGGCCCAAAAAGTGTACTTCCTACCAGTATTCTCATTGAAATTGTTTATATCGCTGCCCTTACCATCAGGCCAGTCAACTTAACTAAAAACACTGTAAAAACCTTCTAAGAATCAAACGTTCTAAGATGCCTTAAAATGGACGATTTAAAACAGTTAACGCTCTAAGGCTTTCAAATTTCACATCCAAAGCTATGACATGTGTGAACATTTTATGTTTGTCTTGCTAAGACGAATCCAAATTCGTATGCAGATTTGGTAAATTTTAAGAAAATTAACGCGGTTACTACACTGCAAACAAGCGAATTAAATGCTGTTTCTCATAATGCCAGAGCCATCTTGGTGCAAAGTAGCCACGGATCGCCTTCGCGGCCAACTTTTGCGGTTTAGAGCTCATTCAGTGCAAGAGAAACTACCATTTCAAGTCTCAGTTTCAGAACCATTCTTAATCATCCTGGTGATTCACGATTTGTGATAAAACTATCTATTCTGCAGCAATTATTCAAACCTTATACATTTTCAGAAGCAAAAAGCAAATTTTCGACGAAAATAAATCATTATCAGGCCAAAATATGAGAAGAAACACTCAAATATGTATGGTCATGGTGCCCCACCAAAAAGTGGTCATGGCTCCCCACGATGCAGTTTACGACTCTAAGGCTCACCGAACAAGCAAAAAGCTACTTAGAATTAAATGTGAAGTTGGACATTTTGCCGGAGAGCCGACATTTTGAGAAAAACCTAAGACATCGAACTTATCTCCTCAAATGTGAGAGTGAGAAAAAATATCTCAGATTTGAAAAACGCCCAATTTATCCAAAACGCTGTAACAAAAATTTTGGCGAGGTGCTATGGTCGTACCCTTGAAGCTAGAAGGTAGGGCTCTGGCTGAAAATAGTTAGAATTCTATTCTCTCGAAAGTCCAGTCGACCGGTTGCCGTCGGCAAAGTAGTTCCCGAGACCGAGCGGGGTGGTCATGCGTGCCCCAGTGGTCATGGTGCCCCATCCTCCCTTATTTACCGGTAATATTACCGTCCTTCGCATCCCTAGTGATAACCATGAGAACTTTTCAAACTTTAACTTGTAACTCGCACCGTATATAATCTGACCAACCAAACATTCACGTGTCATGAGCCGTTATGCATAATGATTGGTTCACATCCAAACGAATGTGACACGATACCCAAAGGACGTGACGTTTTGTCACATTTGTTCCAACATGATGTCACGTTGCCGGAATGAAAGTGATAAGAGTAATTGACCGACCGAAGAGTATCAAGTAAACCACGTGGTCATTTATTTTCTGTGTCTTATGAGTCACACAAAATTGGCAAAATAAAAAGAAACAAGAGCAATTTATAAAATTTAAGGATAGGAAAGGGAATGCTGTCATGTTCTAAGAAAACATGACTAAGAAAACATAAAGTCAAAATGACCCGATTCTTGAACACGATGTGTTCGCGTAAACGAACAGTGTCTAGGCACACTGTTTGCAATACACGCCTTCCCAGACAAATTGCTTCAGCTCCTCACGAAACGCAAGGCAGTCCTCCTTGCTGTGTTGAACCCACTCGTTTCTGGAACAGAAAGCAGAACCGACCGAAAATTCCATGTAATTGAACAGTTCGCATGAACCAGAAACGGTCTAACGTCGTTACCGGTGTAAAATCGAGATCCAACAAATAACATGCACTGTTAAAACCTCAGCAGATGAAAACCGATTTTCAATATCAAAATAAGAATGTTTTTCAAACATGAAATTTAGCATATTCAATCCACTGAGTAAACATGAATTTAAATGGTAGCGGTTAACCTTGACGTCAAAGATACTTTCAAAGACCGCTTTTCACGTCAACGACTATGGATAGATTCAACGACTGCAGTACAATTTGTCTTTAAAAAATTACTACATTTGCAAACCGAAAAGGGGGTTTGAGGGACAAAATAAGCAAAGCTTTGGCCTAAAAAAAAACACCTATGGTAAAAGGCATGCATCGGTGACTATTGTGGCCAGTTTTGTTTAAAAAAAACTGCAATTTTCCAATGTAGGAGCTAATTTTAACTTTTGGAGATAATTTATATGTAAAATGACGACTATTCAGTGTAAAATAAAATAACAATTACTACTGTGTAAACATTTTTTTGTGAAACCACGACAAAGTCTAGCAAGATTGCGACAATACATCGTAAAATAACAATTCAACGTGCGTCAACACTCAACAAATACAATTTGTACAACCCATATTGTTTGTTAAACTTACAACTTTTCTTTAGAGTGTATATAGGAAAGAATGAACGTTTTACGACTCGTTTTCCTGAAGTGAGTGTTACTGCCCCGCACAGATAAAGTACTGCAAAGAACTGCTCATTGTAATACCAGCAATTTTGTTTGTAATACAAAGAAAAAATGCTTCGCAGGTTGCGAAGAAGGTGTTCGTAGGCTACAAAGGATTTTTCCTTCACACTAAATTCTTATTGACATTTTGATGCATAACTATGCATGCGCAGATACGTCCATAAGGTATGCATAATATTATGCATCACAATGAACATTTTATGCAGAAAGATGCACAAAATAAACACAAAGATGCATATACCTTATGGACGTAACTGCGCATGCATAACTATGCATAAAACCAAAAGCAAGAGGGAAAAGTCTTAGCAGATCGCAGCATAAAAATGCATTATTATGCATTTAAAAAGTTCATAAGAATTTGGTGTGTTTGAATTACAAACAGATGTTTGTAAACCTATAGACAGCCTTATTTGCATCAATTTTTATTGCCGATTAAGTCACAGACCTAGTAGAGTCCCGGTTACCTCGCAGTAACCACTTCTTAGATTGTCCGGGTTGTTTGTACGCAGCAAAATATTGATTTGAAACAGCATAAGTCATTAAAATAATTAGCAACGAATTCGTCGTTTCAAAACAAGCAAACTTGTTCTCAAACAACAGCGTTGTCGAGGTTGGTAACTGTGTTGTTGTTTTAAAACAACTATTTTTAACAGTGTAGGACTAATCGAGTGTATTATAGTGTGTACTTGCAAGGTACACACTTATTTAGCGTGTACTTGCCAGGTACACTCTATTTTAGCGTGTGCCTAGGAAGTATGCTGTAAATAGGAGTGTACTTGGAAGCGTGCTCTAATAAGTGTACTATGTACACACTTCAGTTTGCAGAGCAGCGACGATAGGTACTCACACGCCTTTGAAGCCAATGAACCGCAGCCTCTTCCCGCGGAGGGCGGCGAGGAGCTCGCTGCGGTCCTGAGCCGATCCCGGGTCCGGGTTCACCCCCAACGTGCGCAGCCGCGTGCAGCGGGAGAGCGCGGCGCTGCTCGGCAGGCAGGACACGTGCAACTGCTCCAGCGTGTCGGCGAAGCGCTCCACCAGCATGCTCACCGCCTCGGGAAATTCCTGCCACACCAAACCGAAGGTGTGTTACGCGAGGAGGTAAACACTCGCGTAATACCGTACACAATAACCATGTTTTATGCGAAATACACGTAGTAAACGTAATATCATTTGATCCATGAAGCGGAAGAAGGGGGTAACTCAATTTTCATCATTTTTCAGGAGAAACAAAAAACTGTCTGCAGGGTGAAGGGTAAAGATGTGTACAAAGTTTGGTTAAGGGGGTAGTAGCGTCATTTGCACGTATTTTGACGATTTTCGAACCTCCTGTTCAGACGTTAAACGTTTCGACTAAACTTCCAAAAAATATGTCCAAAATCACTTCACTTTAAGCCGCGGTGCTTTCTCAGACAACGCGTGTGTGCCGAAGACGGTGAGGGGGAGAGTGAGTGAGAAAAAGGGAGAGAGAGAGAGAGAGAGAGAGAGAGAGAGAGAGAGAGAGAGAGAGAGAGAGAGAGAGAGAGAGAGAGAGAGAGAGAGCGGGGGAGGGAGGTAGAAAGAGGGAAAGAGAGTCGACTTAGTGTTTGTAACTTACGCCTCCGTCGGTAATAAGTGCCTTTAGCGGCTTCTCACGCTGGACTGCCACACTCGGCAACAGCACTGGACAGGAGTATTTCTCGTCCCGGCTGAACTCCAAATACAGACTGAGCATGTCGCGGCACCGCAGAGCAGCGAGCAGACAGGCAACGTCGGGGTTTCGGAGAGTGACTTGCTCGAGGCCATCCTGCTTCTGGGCCAGGAGCTTGGCAGACCAAGCCAATCGTCCGTTCAGTCCAAGGCCAAAGACCTGCAACCAACAAAGTCAACCAGTCAACAAACACATTTCAAATTCAACGAGACTAACAAACCAAACGTGCATTGAGAATGAAAATTCTGAATGAAAAAGTCATGATCAATACCCAATTTTGGGCGAGGTTTACTTTCTCACCCAAATTTGGGCGAGGAAGGGTGTATCAGCTCCCTATATAGCTCCATAGTATTATGACCCAAATTCGGGCGAGGAAACTTTCCTCACCCAAATTTGGGCGAGGAAAATTTCCTCACCCAAATTTGGGTCATAATACTATAGAGCTATATGGGGAGCTGATACACCCTTCCTCACCCAAAATTGGGCGAGGAAGCTTTTCTCACCCAAATTGGGCGAGGAAACGAAGCCTACGAAACATTTCCTTCATACTGTAGCTACGAAGAAAATGAAGGCGTTGTAGAATTGCTTCGTACTATGAAGAAATGCTTATTATTGCGAAGGATTTTGCTTCATAAAACGAAGCATTTCTTCGTAGATTTTACAATGCCTTCATTTTCTTCGAATTACGAAGCGATTCTTCGTTGTGTTTTTACTGTGCACGAAATTTACTAGTCGAAAGCCCCCGGTTTGGAATCTCAGTGCAGGTACCTTGAGTTTAGAGTGGGTGAGGGCCTTGCGGGCTACGGGCAGCATGACATCCGCCGTCTTGAGCCAGCGGAGGCGCGGCGCGAAGCGCACGATGCGGACGAACTCCCTCGCGTTGCGATGCCGGAGGCTGTAGGACCGAGGCAAGTCCATGCTGACGAGATCCTCGTAGACCCAGGAGTAGAGGAGGGCTCGGCCCTTCCACACGGCGGGCTGCTTGGCCGTGGCCCGCCACGACCGGCAGGTCTGCCCCGCCGACACCACGTCCATCATGCCGAGGTGGCCGAAGACCTGCCCCAGGGCGACGGACGGCAGCGCCGACCAGCAGTCCATCGCCTGTTCGCCGTCCTGCGTGATGCACATGCACACAAAAGTGATGACGTCCTGAGCCAAGAAACTGAATGTTAATTGAAAAGACTTATCGCCGAAGTTTCGCGAGATAAAGTGTTGCCATGGTATGGACAGACAATGTCTCGCCACAAAATGGCGTGACACCACAGTGGCAAAAGAGTACGGATAATTCTGTTCATTTTAATTTTTTGTCAAGATTCTCTGTATCCGCAGACCTCTTATCAATATTCTCCGTAGAATCGGACATTTCTCCGTAGGACCATACAGAGCAGCTCCAGATTTAAAAAAAAAACACTTGGCCGGGGACCTCCTCAGATCTGGCTCCCTGCCGGTTTTTTTGGTTCCTCTAGTGAATACGAATTGACGAAACACAAATAGGGCCGGATCCAACACCGATTGACCGATTGGCATATTGGTAAAGGTAAAAAAAACCTTAAAATGGCTTTTTGAGGGTTTGGAGCATTTTGGGATCCCAAAACCTGCTGGCCAAAAAAATCTACTAGAGTGTTTTACCGAAAGACAGAAGTGTGCTTTAACACTGAGAATGAAAAAGTCATGATCAATACCCAATTTTGGGCGAGGTTTACTTTCTCACCCAAATTTGGGTAATAAAGAATTCCTCACCCAAAATTTTAGTCATGATCATGACTCTTTCATTCTCAGTGTTTACGAATGCCGGGTCGTGCGAGGCTTTACGACGTCGGGTATCGACGCTACGGGCTCTCAAAGTTGCTCAATCTCACTATTTTTACTGAAGATTTCAGTATATGAGGGCCGTTTGAAGTAGACCATCGGCGATTTCGCTCCTCTGTGACATAGTGCCTACCCATAGCTGAACACCCCCACAAAATTTCACGCATCTCAGTCAACTTTTAGAGGAACTGTGAACAATTAAAGCTTTGGGCCATTTTAATACTTACCACTGGACTTAGGTGCTTTTGGGTCCAGAATTATTTTTTTTTTTTAAATTCCTTTTTTGATAAGCACCTTTTGAAACGCCTATTTAACATGGTGCCACAAAACATTTTTTCAACGACAAAGTCGTCTTTTCCCCTTAGGTCTGTTCGTAACACAGCTCGAAAAACACGACTTTGCCGTTTACACAATTTTCCGTAGATTTCTGCCACAGTGATTTGCGTCTGACCGAATTTTGGTGAAACTTTCAGATCTGGCCGCAATTTGGAAAGACTTTTCGTCTCGCCTGTGAAGTGGCGAGGAGTCCGCCACCCGAGCTTGCAGAGAGAGGACTAACTTACAAAGACAAGAGTGTGCATAGCATGTTTCCTGCAAGTACACTACGTAAACACCTGAAGCATGCTTGCCCGAGTGTTTCCCAAGTACAGGTGATGCATTCTTTCTCAAACTGAATCCACGTTTCGGGTCATCGTGGAATTTTGGGCTCCCTACTTTTTCATAGGAGGTCCTTACTAGGAGAGACTCCCTGTAATTTTTTTCTCTCAATCGGACCAATAGTTTGGGAGAAGATGAAGTTTGTGTTCACATTTTCCCTGGGAACGGGACCAGCTGTCATGTTAACGTCGATGATAAAAAAGAACACTGTCAGAAAGAGAATGTTGCTCAACAACATTCGTGAGACGCTTGGCATGTTTATGAATAAGTGCGAAGCTGAAAAATTTAACATCTCCTTTCCAGCATTTGCAAAACTGCGACCAAAATATTGTGTTTTGGCTGGAGGGCCCGGTACTCATTCTGTTTGTGTGTGCGCTGTATACCAGAATGTAAAACAGATGGTTGATGGAGCAGGATTAAGAAGCTCAACCAAAGATGATCTACACCCTATCAAGACAGGAAAGCAATGTTTGCCATTAATGTGACACTCATGAATAAGTGTTTGAAAATTGTAATAAATGCACTGTAAATCCAACGGCAATACTTTTAGTACCTTGTTTGGTGATACAATTGAGTATCGCCCATAAACGGCCTTAAGGAAAAGTATTGCCTTCAAAACGGCGATACACAAAAGTATTGCCAAAATTTGGCGATACTTTGGAGTATTGCCACGATTTGGCAATAAACGCCGAACAAATCAAGGGGACAAGACCTTTGTTTAATGCCGTGGTTTTGGCAATACCCAAAAGTATCGCCAAATTTTGGCGATACTTCTGTGTATCGCCATTCTGAAGGCAATACTTTTCCGTAAGGCCGTTAATTGACGATACCTAATTGTATCGCCAAAAAATGTACTTTAGTATCGCCTTTGCAATTGCAGTGTGTCCTTGGACCAACCAGCTGGTTTTGATGCTTTACGAGAAATTTTAGAAGTTACTTTTGACTTGGAAGGATAAGAAGATATTACTTTTCAGAAGTGGTTGTAGCCTCAAAGTGAAAGACATTGGACTCTGCAAACGGTCACTCAATCAACGGAAATATTTTCAGGTAACTTTTTTCAGGCTGTGGAAGATTTGAAACTTCACGATTTCACTGCAAAGCAACAACGGAATTATTTCAGCTGGCGCCGAAAAAAAAACCCTTGGTCCAACTGAAGCCCTTGTTGTAATGGACTTTTCTGAGAATTATTCTTGTTTCATTCAGGACTCCATTCAATCTTACCACTGGTCAAATGACCTCACAACGGTGCATCTATTTGTTGTGTATTTCAGAGACAAGTAACAATGAAGAGCAGCATCCACACTGCGCAGTGGCGCCCACAGAAATTGCATTTAGGGGGAGCGACTGATATCCTGCCCCTTACAACCCCCTTTTTTCTCTTCTCTTCGTATTCTTCACCTTCTTTCCTTTTCTTGCCCTCCTTTCCTTTTTCTCCCCTTCTCCTTTCTCTTTTCCCCTTCCCTCACCCACCCCAAATCAGGGTCTGCGGCCGCAGACCCTGCACCCACGTGTTTGCGCCACTGTCACTGCGTGATCATTAGTGAAAATATGAAACATCTGTTTATGCTGATCATGCCTTTCAGAAGAGAATTTTACATTTTTTTTGCTGCCCAGTATTAGAGTTTGTACACAACAGCAAATGATTGTCACCCTTCTCTTGACTTCAAACTCAGCAGCGAACAACACTACTTTCCAATAAGCCAAGGGAAAACGAACAACGATGCTATTGGAGTTCTAACCTATAGGTTACCCAGAATGGCAAGTTTCCTGGTTTGGCCTCACATTTATTACGATTTACACAATTCGTCCGTCAAATACCTTAAACTAAATGTCCCGAGCTTTCTTGAATGCATATGAATTGAAAATATTCATTCAAACTATGAACATTGTTTCAGTTTCATTTTTCTCAAAGGACCTTTTCCAGGATTCAGTTGACAGCAGCCTCAGCAAAGAACAAGATAATTTCCAACTGTCAGCACTGTCTGCAATGGTTGCTTATTAGTCCTCTGATGAAGTTATTGCTGATCACTCGTCATCCGTTTAAAAGGTTTCTTAAAAACCCGATTGTTAACGTGAATTGTAAACACTTAAGTTGATCATTATTTGTTTTGATAGGTTTTAGTTGAACATGCCCGTAGCAAGAATACTACTGTAGTCATTAAAGTACTGTTAGTACGATAATACAAGAGACTGTTCAACCAACTGTGCTATCTGATCTGACTTTTAGTGTAATTGCTGAAAAAGACCATTGCCCTCAGCAATCTCCTTCCTTAAAGGTTTCTTTTACCTTCATTGACTATTTATTTTGGCCACATTTTAAATCCGATGCATTAAAATACATAGTGGGATTCTACGGATCAGTTACACTTGGTTTCAAGCGTAAGAGGACTGCGCTTGAAAGAAGAGAGAAATACTACGCTTTCGTTCCCATTTCTGAGGCCGCGACTGCCGCACTCACACTCACTGCATTCCCCGTGGCGCGTCGTTCCGCTCTCCGCTTCCTCGGGGGCTCCCTCGGATCCATGGCTAAGACTCACGAAGTCTGACTGGACTGGGTAGACCTGTAGTGGCAAAAAAAGGGGGAACGGTAAAAAGATGGACAGGTACCTCTGGCAAAACTGTTGCCGGAGGCATCTTCGTAAATTGAAGCCAATTCTTGGTTATTTACACTGAAATTCGAAGGGTGAGACATCTGACCGATTTTCGGTGATACAAAAAGTATGACCGAAAAAAAGGGTCATACTTAAATGTATGATGGTGAGACATCAGCGAGACTCTATTGTTTAGCTTGGAGATATATCAGCCTTTACCTGTGATACACTATAAAGTATGACCATTTTTCGGTCACACATCGAACAGGGGGCGGCAACGGCCTAGGAAGCGCGTGAAGCCATGCTCGAGGGAGGTGCAGGGGTTACTTATTTTGCTTCGATTGGAAGATCCAGCCCAGTGGTTCTCAACCTATTTCGGCTCGCGACCCCAAATTTGTGGCCAAATATTTCCGCGACCCCCAGGAAAAATTTCGCAACACCACGGGACCCCTCCTTTAGCATGCCTTTGTTACGAAGTGCGATTATCTGCCTTTGGGAGCAAAATTGGCTTAAAATTGATTAAAAAGGCCAAAAATGCCTTTGAAATATCGTGTTTTGGGCCGACTTTAAGCAGCCACTGCGTCTGATCCGAGGCGGTATTTCGTGCTCCCTCAACGGGCATTTGGTCTTTGGACTTTCCTTTAGCATGCCTTAGTTACGGAGTGCGATTATGCGCCTTAGTTTGGGAGCAGTATTGGTTCAAAGTTGACCAAAACGGTCAAAAATGCCTTTAAAGTCGGTTTTGATCAACTTTGAGCCAATACTGCTCCCAAACTAAGGCGGATAATCGCACTCCGTAACAGAGGCATGCTAAAGGGAGGTCCAAAGACCAAATACCCGCTGAGGGAGGACGAAATACCGCCTCGGATCGGACGCAGCGGCTGCTTAAAGTCGGGCCAATACACGATTTTTCAAAGGCATTTTTGACCGTTTTGATCAACTTTGAGCCAATGCTGCTCTCAAACTAAGGTGCACAATCGCACTCCGCAACAAAGGCATGCTAAAGGAAGGTGCAAAGACCAAATGCCACTTTGGTTCTTTTACATCCGTTTCAAGAATCATTGGAATATGGACAAAGATCTGCAACAACCTACCGTGACGACAGGAACGACAATTGGATGACAGCTGAAAATTTCGTCGATTTCAGACCGGAAGTAGGCGCAAGTTGACTGCACTTTGACACAGTACGTCAAACCAGCGTTCCGCTCCAAGTGGTCCGCCGGCTGAATTGGGGTTTAGGTACGGCCCCTTTCAGCCGCAAAGTGACTTTGAGGTCCTGTTAAGTCCTAAGTCTCTCAAAGAATCTGACTCTGTCTTCCGCGCGTATGAAGCGTTCCGTTAAGTTAGTTTGGCGATAGGACACTGCAAGAAAAAGTGTGGATAGTAACAACAAAAGTACAACAAAAACTGTACAATAAAAGTACGACAGGGATTGTAGAAAGTACAACGCGAATTGTACAAACGTCAATGAATGATCAATGAGGCAGAAGAAGGGAATAGCTCAATTTTCAACATTTTTGAGGAGAAATCCAAAACTGGTTGCAGGGTAATTAAGCTAACTTTTATCAGATGAATGATGCAATTGCATTTTCGACATAAAAAAGTCTAAATAACTGTGAATTTTGCAACATTGCAACATGGGGTGCATTGGCCTAGTAGACTGCCCGATAGTACTTCCTATTCATCCGAACACAAGGGCGGAAACCTTTACATCAACATGGCGTAGACGAGGTTTTTCCTACATTTTATGATTTCTCGTGTTTTTCGGCGTTTTCACTTCACTTTAATGGCTGAGCGATAGCGAAGCCCGTTACTCCAGTGGGGCTGAAAAGTTTTGTCTGTCTGTCTGTTTGACTGCGTGTGTGTGTGTGTGTGCACTACTCCTCCTGAACGGCTCGGCCGATCTGGCTGAGATTTTGCAGGGTCATTAGGTATGTCCTTCGCTCGCCACACACCAAAATTCGGCTTTCTATCTCAATCCATTCGGTCATACACTGTGGCAAAAAGGTACGGCAAATTCTGTTAATTTTTTTGCCAGGATTCTCCGTAGCCCTCTTATCAATATTCTCCGTAGGCTCTTACAGTATTCTCCGTAGGGCCGTACAGTATTCTCTGTAAGTCCGCACAGTCTTCTCCGTAGGACCTGGAAGACTGTATAGTCCTACGGAGATCACTGTAAGGTCCTACAGCGAATACTGTGCTGTCCTACGGAAAATACTGTAAGAGCCGCATACATACCGTATCCGCTTACTACATCTAGTGCGTAAGAGGCAGGGAGTTGTCTGCTTCAGTTAGCTCGTACATGTCATGTATGCTGTGATAAGTGCATGCTTGGCGGGTATGCGCTAACCAGAACCAGAGCGTGCTTGCAGGCATGCTTCAGTTAGTTCAAACAGTGTATACGCCGGGCCGTGTCGGGCCGGGCCGAGCCGAGCCGCCCCGTCGGTGGCCAGCCGAGCCGGGCAGGGTGAGCCGAGCCGGCGCTCGGGCGCTGCTTTCCCGGAAAATCACCGCTCGCCGGCCGGCCGGCCGAGGCTACCTGCACCGACCGAAGGGTCGCGAAATCCCTCGGCCACTCCGGATTACTGAGGGACTGCGTCATTTTTAGTGTGTCTGTGTCTCCAGAGCTGTGCACATCGTGTCCGGGTCCGAGAGCGAGTCAGTCGCGCCATCAATTTAGTTTCACTGGACCGTTTAGTGTTATTTCGGCGCAGTGCGTGTAGTGCAGTTGAAGTGTTGCTCGTGGTGCCCAACAGCCAGCACTCGTGTTTCAAGAGTTTGAAGCTAGATTGGCGATCTCCGGGAAAATGACTGTTTTCGTTACAAGCGGCGCAGCTGAATGCTGTAACTCCATCTTCTTAATTGCAGGGACGGGCGATGAACGTGTGGGTGGCGTATTATTTCAATTCGCTTCTCCTCTTTCATCTTTGTTCCCAAAGTATTTTCTTCTTGTCGATCGAGTTTCCCTAAAGTTTTCATCTGGATCTGAAACGCTGCTGCGCTGTTTACCACGTCGACTGAGGTTTGGCTCTCACGTTAAACTGTGATGTTCCTTGTGCGTAGCTCTCGGAGAAAAATGAAACTCCGCTTTAGTAGCCCGAATTGGTGCGCTACGATGCATAAGTGCTGCAAGATATTGAGTGTGAAAAGAAATGAAACCTGTCTGAGAATTCAGTATTTGTAACATAAAAGTTTAGAACGGGATATAAGATTTCACGATACATTCGTTGTAAAAAGTAATAAAACTGTTATGATGTTTCATAGCATTGGTTGTAGAGATTAAGAACCGGATATAAGTTTTCATAACACATTGCTTCTGAAAATTAATAATAGAGTTCTTACATTTCATAAACCACTTATGACATTTTAGAACAGCTAGTTATGAAACTTAAGAACTATTTGGATATGAAATTTAAGAGCAATAGTTCTACAAATAGGTCCAAAACCAGGTTATGAAATTTCAGAAGCATTTTTTTTAGAGTGTACGGAAAATACTGTAAGAGCCTACGGAGAATTACCACAAGCTGTTTACAGAATTTTCCGTAGCTTTTTGCCACAGCGTATTAGCCAAAAAACACTTAAAAAACGGCAGAAAAAAGACAACTCTTTAGATACTTTCAATTTTTTTTGTCAAGTTTCATATCATTTCATATATTTTGGAGGCTGCTGATGACGAAAATAGAACCCGTTCGGACCCCCGACCGAAAGTTGAATCCCATCGGTGTAGATTTTCATGACTAAATGCTATTTTTTGAGGGGATTACGCCCATTTCTACGGTCTGCCTAGGAAAGCAGCGTGCCGAAGGCAGGTTAGCGCCGCAGGCCAAGGTAAGTAGGTGTATACGCCAGGCGTGGATGGTCGAAACTGGCGCAGCATCGCGAAGCCTGTTACGACAAGCCACGGTCTGGCGTACACCTACCTTGTTTTTAGGTATGGTGGGTGTTTTAAGAAGGGCAATTAGCCTAATGCAAAGCTCTTTCCATCGGTGCAAAGCGTTTTGAAACACAGTTTAGTTTTCATAATTTCGAACAAGTGCGCAACCTCTGCACTGACGGCGCGAGCATCGCTTCACGCTCTCCCAAGGCCGTTGCCACCCCCTGCTATTTCAGATCAAAATTTCTCAAAACTGCTCTAGCAATTCCTCATCACACGTCGGCACTGAATTCTCGGTACAAAGCTCTACTGATCTGCCAAGTCTATCAAAATCGTACAGAAAATTTACAAATTGCATAAGGAGACACATTGGAGAAATTAAATGCATCATGCATCCCGGGGAGGCTACATTGTGCATAAAAATTCGGAACAATGTGCTGCACTCTCCCCTACGTCTTTCGGCGTATCGAAACGAGGTGGCCAAAGCCTCATAGTTTGTACACTCTATGAGCAGATGGCACTCACCCCACAAATCGAAGAGCGTACATTGTATGCTCTAACTGGAGCATGCCTGCAAGCACGCTCTAGCTAGCACATGCCTGCCAAGCATGCTCTAAGTAGTGCATACATGCCATGTACACGCTTCCTGATGCAGGCAACTCCCTATCCCTTAAGGGAGTATGGGGCGATTTGTAACAGATTTTGGAATCCTCTATACAAAATTAAGAACATTCTGCATATCGGTGTCAAACTTGTGCCAGTTGAGCAGTCTGGCGTCTGGCCCTTCATCTAGACTGTGCAGCTCCATGGGATCAATGTGGAGTCCGTAATCTTTGAAATCTAAGACGCTTTCCAAACCCTTGCATGCTGTTACGAATCGCCCCAGCATGGGGTGATTTGTAACAGCCTTGGGGCTTTTCATAACATCCTAAACATTAAATGAAACATCGTCGGGAATGTTATCTCCTCCAGCAGTTGTTCTTCGGATGTCCTGCAGACGCCGTAAAATCTGCATTACAAGCTGCCGTTGACCGCCTCAGCATTAACTGACCGGCTATGTCAACCCTAACCTCACTTTTTTCAATTTTGGAGGAAAGAATAGAATAACTCGCTTTGAAATGCATTTTGAGCTGTGTAAATGTATTGGAATTAGGCAGCAGATGATTCGAGAAAAAATTCAAGCATTTTATTGCAAAAACTACTTCAATTCTTGTTTTTATACGGGTCTGTTACGAATCACCCCAAATGCCAGCTACGCGAGAAATACGTCCCTAACTATCACTGGACAAAGTAAAAGCAACTTATGCCACGTGGTTACATTGCAAAGGGGTCAAGCTTCGAGGCCCCAACGGTACTTCGATGGTGATTCATACCTGGGGAGCCTCAGACAGAAACTTCTTTGAACTCAAAATAAAAGATTTGCCTGTTTTCGGTGTACCCTATATTTCAGACGCCCTCCAAAACTATACCTGAGCACCGATCACATCCGCTTCGATTGTTCAAGGACCCTCTACTTGAAGCGAAAGAGGGGCCATACACAGATTTTCCTCTGCTCCCTCCACTTAAATTAATAAACGCATTTGTTACGAATCGCCCCTGTTACAAATCGCCCCATACTCCCTTCCGCACTAAATGCATGCTTCAATTAGCGTGTACATGGCATGTATGCGCTAGTAAGTGCATGCTTGGCAGGCATGCGCTAGCTAGAGCGTGCTTGCAGGCATGTTCCAGTTAGAGCATACAATGTACGCTCTTTGATTTGTAGTGCAGCATCGGCATGGTCAATGGGCTTAAGGTCCTTGCACCAACATATTTTTTTTAAATTTGAGGTCAACTCATGTCCAGAGGGCGGACCCTGTTGTGGACTGTACACCGCATGATTCTCCGGTGGCTTCACTGATTCTCACCTTTTCAAGAGAGGTCTCTGTGCCTAAAGAACGGACAATTGTTAATACTGAAAAACAGATTAGATAGTGGTTGTTTGCGAATAACATACCAATGCAGAGAATTTTCCCCTCACATGCATTCCAGGAGGGCTTCTTGACCGTTTTTACAGCTCCTACCACAAAATCCACTGCTCCAATAAATTTTGCTTTGTTAAAAATATCTGCTACAGTGGGATTGAAAGTAACAACCAAAGCAAAATTTCCAACCATGATTGAAAGGAACCCAGAAAAGAAAAAAGTAGATTGTTTTCTCGTAGTCAGCATGGTGCAACAGCAACCTCACCGAGAGGCATGTACTTCAAAAATAATTCATTATAGAGACTATTATCCTGAAACGATTACCTTCGCTGAATCAAATTAAAAGTTTCTATGTCGCATGAAAATGGTTTGCAGAGAATCACTGTCAGATTGATAGGATATCTTACCAGTTGATCAACGTAAATAACTCGAAACAACTTGACACATGCATTTGACAGAAATTTGAACGGAAACAGTAGTCATGTAATTTTTCACAAGGCGAGAAGTATTTTGCAAATGTAAACATTGCAGCCACAGTGAAAAAAGAAGCGATGTTGCGGCAACATTTGACACACATTTTGAACAGCTGTGCTGGCGTAAACAATAGATCAACTAATTTACTCACCAAAAACTGCCGCACAGTTTCGCTGTAGCTCCAATCAGCCGCCGCCGCCTTATTGTTCAGCTGCGTTGTTGGCTGCCATGCGACGGAACCTCTCTCGCTCTTTCTCTGTTTTCTCTGTCGCGGTGTTGTACGACACGTTTTTGGGCTGGTGAAAATCTTTGCTGTTCACTGCAGGAAATAACCACAACAAAAGGACACAAATTTCTGGCAAATTTTTTATCAGGAATTTAGTGTACTTTTCAAGTACAACAATTGTTGTACAAAGTACAATGGAACCGGCATGACGAGTGCTGTGCAGTCCAGGGCTCGTTGTGGTTTGTACAATTTTTGTTGTACTTTCTAAAATCCCTGTTGTACTTTTATTGTACAGTTTTTGTTGTACTTTTGTTGTACTATCCACACTTTTTCTTGCAGTGTTGCGCGTTTGAGATCTACATGGAGTATGATTTTTAATGATTCACCTCAGGGAGTCGCGACGCCTCCAAGCAAGAGGGCCAAGACGAAACTCCGACAGCAATTTATTGAGGAGTCTCTGAATACACCTTAAGTTTAGGTTAAGGTTCCTTCGCACAAGCTCTATGTAATATCTCGCTTCTCGCTGAATTATGAACTCTATTTTGGCAGGCCCACTAATCTACTCACTGAGGATACTCCCTCTGCAAGCAATCTGCTTCCTCATTTTTATATCAGTTCAAAGTCAGGAAGATGGGGAATTTAATTACGAAGAGAATGGTATATGATTGAAAACTGTGGGACAACATCCTACGCTTGGCCTAACGCGATTTATAGTGAAAGGCGACGGATTTTAAGCGAAAATCAGTGGTGTCATTGGATTTTTTTTCGTGAGTATACGGTCGGTGGCGGACCAAGAATG